GGGTGGTGCTCATCTCCGTTTCCAAGCCAAAGAGCCAGCGCTGTCTGAAGACTTTTCCGTGGACATGTGGCCAGCATGACTAAATGCCGAGGCGCACGGAACGCTGTTACCTTCCCGAAGTGGTACCGATTTATCTACTTGCAATTTCTTGCTTTTGAACTGCTAGGTTGGCAGGAGCTGGGGCCAGAGACGGGAGCTCGCTGTGTCACGCGGCACTCGCGTCTCGAACTGCCGAGCTACAGACCACGTCTTAACCTCTGAGCCACCGCGGCCCTCCCAGATATCAAATATCAGATACCAAATACCAGATATCTGACAAAGGGAGTTTTGACTCTCAAAACCTTATACCCCAGAAATCTTCTTCGTCTCCAAAGTGCTGCTGGACTTGAATCAAGCTACCCGACTGTGCTGTAAGTCTGCTTTAATTGTATATGGTATGTTATCTGTTGCTTTCACTGTTCAGTGCCATTCGGACTCATTCGTCAGCAAAGCCGTGTCTCTTCTAGGCCACTAAATGGAACATCACTTCCTCTGAAGAAAGTTACTTCATTTTGAGGAAAACCCAAAGAGAGCATTTCTCACCAAAAATGAAATGCCCCAAACCACGATATAAAAGCCACACTAGCAATCTGTGCCTGAGGCACAAATTCAAAATGACAGCACGCCTTGCCCCAAAAACTTGAAGGAACCATGCTAAGATCTGGAATTGTTTTGTGCAAATAAGGGTTCAAAAATGTGCAGTAGTAACCAAATCCGCATGAGTAACCAGTTGGACAGTATGAGTAATTTTCAGAGTTGTGCCAGTGCTTTTAAACAAACTGGGATCTGATACACTTTTTTTGAAATGTGCACGAGGCCATGGACTTAAACCTACTGCAAAGCAAAAAGTTGAATATTATGGAGTTAGGAGTCCTCTTGGTTTCTGGCCTACATTCCTCAGACATTGCTATTTTTAAGAATGAGCCCTGGTTGCTCCAGAGAGAGGCAGTGATAGATTTCCCAGTTGGTTCTTTGCTTTAGTAATTGGAATCCTCTTGTTAAAACAAAAACAAAAAATTGGTTTAGTTTCTTCAGAAATCAAGTGAGATCAAGTACTCCAACTGCATGAGCCAAAGAAGAAGGCTGATGTGAAAGGCAGACTGGGAAAGCAACAGACAAGGTATTATCTTGTGTTGGGTATGTACATTGTGCTGGTGACAGCCACTCTCCACTAACTCACAAATCCTTCAGGTAGATGTTAAGTTAAACTTAAAGTCTGGTTTGGTATGTGCTTTGACAGTCCCCACCCCATCTCCACTCACTGTAGTCACTACATGTGTCTCCTGATCAATAATGTCCAACCTGTAACAGACGATATGGGACATGCTTTGAAAATTCTAACAACATACACCTAATTCCCTCCTCCCTTCTTGCTTTCGCGCCTCCTTTCTCCTCTTAAAACAAGCCATAAACAAACAGAAGGAAGAAGAAATGATGATGGCCGAGAGCAAGACCAAGCTTAGGTCAAGTACAACCCACTTGTGGGTCCCATCCCACCTGATGAAGACCTACCTGCTACATCAATAACCTTGAAGTTACCATGACAACATTTATGGCTGCTAAAAAGCACAGGCTACAAGAATGAGACGGATGTTTCCACCCAGTCTCTAGATAGATCACTCATGTATGAACTGAAGGCAGCAAGTATCCTGACTTTTTTGCTTACAACTTAAGGGATACACGTGCATACCAAGAACAACATCGGGGAGTTAGCACAACCTAGGTAGGATGGTGATGTCCACATGTATCGCTGGTGCTTGGAAACACCTTCTCCAATCAAAAGCTAGAATAATATGCCAATGCCTACGGCTGTTCTAGATACCAAGTACCTCCTATACTAGGCAATAAAAGTCCATGCAGTAATGCATCTGGAATAAGGAGAGAATACATCTTAGTGAATATATTACATATCTGGACCATACCTTATTAGTATGGTTTGTTATCTGTTATCTTGAGATCACAACAAAATAATAATATTTAATGCGGCAATATATGACAGTGTCCAAACTCACTGAAATAATTTGACTTTAATAGATGAAAAGGCATTGAACTGATGAGCTACAGTTAAACGTGGGCCCATTAATGGAATGTTCTCTTTAACCCACTATACTTGGTGGTGGACCCAACCAGCTTTTCTGGTGGTGAAAAAGGCTGTGTTGGGGACTATGAGATCCTCGGGTACAAAACCATATGGATAACAGCTGTATTGAGGAGAATTAGGTGAGACTCAGTAAAAATGCTGACTGGGTTTGACCCGATCCTTCCATTTGAAGAGTTCCCCTTGGCAGAGCGCATGATTCCTCTACTATTGTTTTCATCACTTCTAGAGCACTACAGATTGGTCTGCACTCTAAATCAATTTGGAAATTCCAGTTGGTGCAGTATACCATGGCTTGGCTATTATCGATAGCTGGATGAAGTATGTGTATACTTCTGACCTGCTGAAACTCCATCATCCGCCCATTGGTTCGTAAGAACATAAGAGAAGTCATGTTGGATCAGACCAATGGCCCATCCAGTCCAACAGTCCGTGTCACACAATGGCCAAAACCCAGGGGCCATCAGGAGGTCCACCAGCGGGGGTCAGAACTCCAGAAGCCCTCCCACTCTTGCCCCTCCCCCAATTAAAGTATTTGCTATCCTGTACAGAGCCCTCCATGGCTTTGGTCCCTCTTATCTGCAGAACCACCTCTCTCCCTTTTCCTCACCACAACAGCTTCGCTCATCTGAGCAGAGCCTTCTGCAGGTACCAACCTGCAAATGGGCATAACCAACAACTGCCCATACATGGGCTTCCTCCGTTGTGGCTCCCGCCTTTTGGAATGGCCTGCCCGAGGAGATCAAGAAGGCTCCCACTCGCCTGGCTTTATGGACACTGTGCAAAACTGGATTATTTGTGAGGGCTTTTCTATACAGGTAAATACAGCAAGAAATTGCAAGTAGATAAATAGGTACCCCTTCAGTGGGAAGGTAACAGCATTCCGTGCACCTTGGTGTTTAGTCATGCCGGCCACATGACCATGGAAACTGGCTTTCGAGCAAGGGAACCTTTACCTTTACTAATAGGGCTATACTGTACAAAACAGTTTACAAAAGCTGCTTGGATAAATTATGAGGGACTATGGTATATAGGGGTCTATAGTATGTCCTTACTGTGTACAGCAAACCGTAAGAAGGATCCTACTATGTAATCTGTGCACTGTTTACTTTGCTTCAGTTCTAATTGTTAGATTTCGGGTTGGTCCTAGACCTCTACAGTCCTAATCCTATTGCACTGTTTATAGAACGTCCCATTTTGTTGACTGCACTGACTCACTTGGCGTAACCCACCTTGAGTCCCCATGAGAAAGGTGGGCTATAAATAATGAAAATAAATAAATATATAATCATCGAACTTTCATCCATCTGAACAGCTATGGAATAGGGTTACTGAAAATTCTTTCATTTGAATAGAGGGCTTTGGGCAACTCACACGACCATTCTGCTTCACGTTTTCGTATGTATAATGTTAGTACACATTACGCCAGACTAGAGCATCTGTGTGCTAGCCATACAGGCCCTCCTACAGACCACTAACTTTTTAATTAGGCTGGTTCCTCCCCCCCTTCAGAAAGACTTCTTTTGGAAAAAGACCCAAAGTGATCCCAACATGAAATTCTGTAGCCAAACAAGGAAACCACGATACGCTTAAATGCAGCAATTACCATTAAACCATTAATTCACAACCATTACATTAACTTTTGTGGCTGATGACTAAATGGACAGTATACAAACATTAATTTTCGCTTTCTCCCCCCCCCCAAACTCCCGCGGCCACACACACACACAAGCTGAGAAAATACGCTAGCAATGATTTCTTCTTTCATAAAACACAATACTAGATTTTTATTAGCTATTTTCCCTGTATGACAGCTCTTGCACACATGAATTGTGAAGAGTAATCTGCACGTAAACATGATTAATTAAAAACGATTATAGCACAGTGTATTTGAAAATCAATGCAAAGTTCATTTAAATAATTTAAAATCAGATTTCTTTGTATGCTTTATGGTCTAAGCGTCTCCCAAGTTTTGTCTTCGGGAAATTTTATGAGGCAGAAAGCAATAATCTTAAGAAAGCCTATCAGGAAAACATTCATAAAACAACCCAAATAAAACTGACTTCCGAAAATCACGCTTCCTGTGTATCCTACCTGATACTGAGACTGCATGTGGTCGGATCCCTTGCTTCTCGTTGTTGGCCAGCCTGTAACAGAGAAGTACAAATCTGTGAATACCACCCATTATGCACACTCCCAGGAAATTAATATTCATTCTAATAGGGCACCTTACAGCAATCAGTAGGGCCAATCCATTCTCCGTGGAGACAAATTTTGACTGGGGGGGGGGAGGTGACTATCATTTCAGCCCACCCAGGGGGAGTAAGAGTAGAGGTAAGGCTTGGAGAAGCCAATTTTAAAGTTGACAAGAAGTTCTTAAACAAGTCTGAAGATGTACAAGCACTGAACTAACAAGGAAGGCTTTTGAGTTACTTCCAATACTCTTAGCTACCCAGTTCAACACCACGTTCACGGCTTACATCAGAAGCATCATCTCCAACTTAATTAAGGGACTTATTCAGCATCTCCCTGTTTCCGTGTGTGTAGCACACAGCTATCTTAACAGACAAATTTGCCACACGCAAAAAAGAGGAAAGTCCTCTACTATTAACCCTTTCATTGCAATGTACCAAGTTTTAAAGATATGGCTGCATGAATCATTAACGAACGTACAGATACAGTCTGATGCACACTTGTGAGAAAAGCCTCACTGAATTACGTAAGACTAGCATAGGCTGGTGCTATATGCCTGCAAACACCAGTTTACCGGGGGGGGGGGGGGTACATTTAAATAATTAATTTTTG